GATGTATATTGATTCATACAAATTCATGTATTATATTAAATAAAAAATTAATTAACAATAGTTTTATGCTTTTTAAAAAAAATACCAAAGTCTTAAGAAAATTAAAACTCATACAACATGACTAACCATTTATTTCTCAAATCTCTTCCACTTGCATAGAGGGCCAAGTTTATTAGGAAGGTTTTCATTAAAAAGTAATTAAAAAAATATTATATAGAAAGTCAATAAGTTTTATAATAAAATTTTATGAAACTATTGTTTAAATGCTAATTTTTTTATTTAATAAGAAATTAATAATTAAAGTTAGTAGACAAAAATTATTAAATGAATCATATATAAAAAAAAATATTTTTTTAATCTGTGTCTTAAACATTGTAATTATTATATATTTTTTTCATTAATTATTATTGAAAAAATAAAAGTTAATATTTATTTAATTAAAATGGCTTATCGTGACATTAATGACAAAATCAATGATAATTTTTATATTTTGTTAATAATAATTAATATAAAAAATATAATAATTATACTTTTAACTTGTATCCTTAAAGCACATGTTAAATCAATTCATAAAAAAATTAAAATTTTTTTTTTCCTTTTCAAGAGTTTGAAAAAAAAAGTTTGAGTTGAAAATTATATAAAGGGAAGTAAACATTTAAAGATATGAATTTTATTCTTCTTTTGTTATGATATTAATATATAAAAATATATAAATAATAAAAATACAGGGGAAAAAAAAAATTTTCCACAACCACACTGCCCTTAATTCAAAGGTAAAAAGAACCTGAAGGGGAAAATTTTAAAGAGAAAAAACGTTAAACTGGGTCAGGGCTGAGAACGACAGACAATCAGACATTTCCTATGAAGAAATTACGTAAGCCACTTCCCCACCACCCCTTTACCTATCTTCGCTGCTGCCGTTTGCCTGACGGCAGGTCCTCTCCCCCTACAAATGGAAACCCCAGATTAATTTTGAAAAGAATAATAATAAATGGAGGAAAATATGAGATTAAAATTTAAACTTAATAACCGTAATATAAGTTATATAATTTAAAATATTTAAAATATATATTTTATATTTTTTAATAATTATTTTTTTATTTTTTAAAAAATTTATAATATTGTATATATTAATTAATTTAATAATATTACATACAATACATCATTAATTTTAAATTTTAATCTAATAAACTAATTCAATAATTAAAAATTAAAAATTTCTTTAGTGACTCGTTAGTTTTAATAAAAAGAATTCGATTTTTCTTAAATAAAATTTCAAATTCAAGTTTTGTTAATAAGAAAGCAAGTGTTGGAAGAGATTTTTCAAATGAGTCTGACACAATTTAATTTTAAATTAATCAGAATTTAATGTATTTATCAAATATCAAAAAATTAATATAAAAAATTTGAAACTTCAAATTAAAAATTTTAAATTAAATAAAAAAAATTTGAAATGAGAGAAAACAATTTCCTTTTATATAATTCAAATAAAATGTGTTAAAAAAATTAATTTTAAATTTCTATCTTAAATTTTCGACTTGCTTACCACTGCTCTTTTCAAAAACAAACCAAAATGCTGTCGTTTCGATCCACAGATACGAAGTAGGTAGGGGACCATTTATATATTTTGCCATAAAAACCAAACAGTACATGACCCCATTTTTTCTCGTGGACCCATTCTTTCCTTTTTTTTTTTTTTACTGTATTTAATAACGGGTCCCACAGTCATAGGGGACTACCTCACAGTTTGCATTGATTAAGCCGGCGGCTGTCAGAGAAGTCAAAATCTCAGTGGTCCCACCAACTCTTATCAGTCCACGTGTAAGGACCTAATAAGCTAATTCAAGGGCGCGTGCTTCGAGCGATGGGGACCACAAGTGGTCCAATGGAACAAACAGACGACGCGTGTCCACGGGGTCGTTGTCCCGCGAGTGTCGGAGAGAGAAACGACGTAATTTAGGGTCCCCCCCACCGCTCTCTTTCTCGCGACGCTTCTCTCTTCCCTTCGATTATCCTCGTTTCTTCCGGTGAACGGTGAGATGAAATATTCTCCAATATATTTACCACGAAATTTTCTATTATTACTTAACATTAAATCTCCATCATATTTGGACATAATTAAACCCAACCAAACCCCATAATTCGTCACTCTATGTTTAGTGACGTGGAAAGCACGCTCCGAGTTTTCAACGTCACGCTCCGAGTTTTAAGGAATCATATGCCACTTAACAACGTTATATATAAACTGGTTACTGGTCCTTGCTAGTTGCTACTGTTTCTGGACACAGTCGTGTACTTTATGTTCTTTTTGTTGTTGGGGTACTTTGAAAAACGAAGTTTATAATCCACGGTATGCTTGCTGATTATGCTGCGGTTTTGGATTTTGGGTACAAAACTGCGAATAGAAATGCCCTTAATTTGTGTACAATGAGGCACGTGCAAACCAACTCTTTACTTCTGTGAATTTTTTTTAAGGGTAAAGATGTAATTATCGTATGTTTTTATATTACTAATTAATATTAGGAAATTAAAAGTTAATTCAAATTTAAATAATTATTTAATTGAAATAATCTATGTTGTATTAATAATATTATTAATAATATTTTTTTATGTTTTTATTTTTTAAAATATATGTTAAAAAACTCTTTTTTTTTTTAAATTATGAGTTAGGTAATAGGGAGTAAATATATACTTTTTCTATTTGATGGGAAAGCAATCATTATTATTAAAAAGAAGTTTGAAACTCTCACTTACAAGATTTATGTAAGAAAATATTACTATTTCGCATGTCTTTTTCTTTAATTTTCTGTCAATATTTTCAATGTTTTTCTCACAAATATATAAACCATTCTTAGCTTTAAAGGTGTTACTTCATTTTCACAAAGAGTCACAAATTATAAATAAATTACCTAAAAATATGAAATTAAAATTTTGATTTCGTTATATATTTTAAAATTTAAATTAAAAATGATTGTGATAATTAAATTTTAATGCATTTAATTTCAGGTTCTGCATATCTCTGTGTGTGTTTATTTTTTTTTAAATCTTTTCACTGAGGAGAGAAAAAAAAAACAAAGGAGTCCACGCCGAGGACTATGATTGCAGGCTTGCTGCTGTGCTGTGGTTTCCATGCGCTCTGCCAAACTGCACACCGTCTGTCCCGGGAAATGTTTTTTTTTAAATAATTTATTTATTTTATTTTTTTTATATAATTTGATACATCATCAAAATAATTAATTTTTAAATTTAATTTATAATATTAAATATATTAATTTATTTAATAAAATATAAAAATTTTATTAAAAAAAACAAAAACAAAGAGATTTTGTCCGTAGCATCCGTCTGTCACCTCAAGAACACGTACGCCAGGCTCAGATCCAAGACCGATTCTAAAACGAGTGTATCCCACGCGCTTCTTGTTTCGAGTCGCACGCAAAAGTGTGATGCCCCTGCCCCCCTCCATTTTTGCCACAACTAGACTTCTGGACCGTCAGATCAAAATCAAATCAAACACCTTTCGTCTATCAACGGTCCAAATGTATCCACGCCCAATATGCTAAACTTTTCAACGCTTTTGTTTAAGAAATAAAAAAACACGGCAGTCCGTAATTAGGTAGATCTATTTGGTAGATTTATTGTTCATATTTTCATAGATTAATTATTAATTAACTCTATTCCAACTTAGATATTTTTATAAGATTATATACTATGGATTGAATGTAGAAAAAAAAAATGTGCTTATTACTTTGGTATGGTGTATTAATATATTAATGTTATTTATTTTTTAATTTTTTAAGATAATATTTAAAAATATTAATTTATTAATTAATAAATATTTAATATTAAATAATTATAATTATAAATAATTTTATTAATTAAATTAAATTAAATTAGTATTTTTAAAATATATTTTATAATTTTTAATAACTTTAATACTTTAGGTAATAACCATAATCCTATATATATATATATATACACTACATAATTGCAAGTTACCCCTCATTACACGCATGACAAGATAAAAAAAAAAAAAGAAATTATATTTTTGTGTTAAATGGAAAAGGGTTATAATAGCTTCTTTACTTAGACATAAGTGATATTAGTAATATATTGTTTATGAAGAGAAAAAAATCATTATAATACCACATAATATTATAAATTAATAATTATAATATGTTATTATATAATTTTTTATTTAAATATTTTTAATAATACTATATGTATTTATTTATTTAATGATAGATTAACATTATAAATTTATAACAAAAAAAAATTTTAAGTCATATTAAAAATATAATTTTGATATTAAAATTACTAAAATACTCTTAATGAAATTATTTTACACATTTACTCACTAATGATAATTTAATAATTTTAATATCAAAATTATATTTTTAATGTATAATTTAAAATAAAATACTTGAAACCCAACTTATAAATTTATGTGTATTATAAGTATAATATTATCATATTTATATTGATAGACCAAGTTACCCAATAATTACCTCATTTCTCTAGTAATAATAACAAGTGGTAAATTACATGACAAACAAATAACTAGAATTTACAGATAAAAGAGAGGTAGCACTTAACTTACAATGTAAAAATTATTAAAAAAAAAATCTAATTGTAGGAATGAGTAGTATTTTATCTAAATTAATAATTTATTTTTAATATAAAAAAAATTAAATTCTAAAGATATACAAAAAACTGATTTAAAAACTCTTTAACTATAAGTACAATTTTTCAAAATTACCATTATACATAATTT